GCACCGGCCATCCCTATATAGGATCCGAACCCGCGGCGGGAGCGCCGCTGCGCTCCCAGTGCCGCACTCTCCCCAGTGCGTCCCGGACCCGGCCCCCAACAATGTGATTGTTGCTGAACCCCTGCTGTCTGCTTGGGAGTCTAGGATCTTGGCATGTGCCAGGCAGAGGGTACCTGCGTGACCAGCCCCTAGTACAAGCCCTGGATCTCTATGAGCTTCCCTGGTAGACAACTCTTCATACGTGTTGTCATAACTTGTTGTCGGGGGAATTAAGTACCTGCGTGACCAGCCCCTAGTACAAGCCCTGGATCTCTATGAGCTTCCCTGGTAGACAACACTTCATACGTGTTGTCATAACTTGTTGTCGGGGGAATTAAGTGCATCCTGTGTGACTCCACTGGGAAAGGATTCTGGAAGCTGGTTTCCTCCTGCTTTCACCCCAAGGGGCTTTTTACCTTTGCTGATTGTGTTTGGTTTACTTTCATTGTAATAAACCATAGCCACGAGGACAACTGTAGGCTGAGTCCTGGGAGTCCTTCCTGCAAATCACAGAGCTTTGGGTGCTCTTAGGAACTCCCTGACATAGCTCCCCAGAGACCCTTCCTTCTGCCCATGGCCTACCCCTGCTTCTGAAAAGAGCTCCCCCTGACACTTCATTCCTCCCCACAGAAATACTACCCGCCGGACTTTGACCCATCAAAGATCCCCAAACTCAAGCTCCCCAAAGACCGACAGTACGTGGTGAGGTTGATGGCCCCCTTCAATATGAGGTGAGCACCCCCTAGGTTCCCCCACCAGTTGGGCTGACAGACCCAGTGCCTGGCATCCAGAGAGGTGGCCTGTCCCCAGTGTTCAGACCAGGCCACTGGTCCTGGCTCAGACATTGACCGCTCCAAGCCTCACTCTTTTCAACATTCAGGATTAAACTCCCAGACCTCTTAGAGCTCCTAACCAGTGCCTGCATCAAGGTCCTAATCATTAGTAAAAGTGGGAGTGCAGAGATGGGTCCCCATGCATACATTTCGGCTCCTCCAACAACCAAGCTTCTTCCTACCTCAGGGCCTTTGCACGTACTGTTGCCTCTGCCTGGAATGTAGCTGGCTCCTCCTCACCCTTTAGATCTTGGCTCAAATCTCACCCCCTTGGAGGGGCCTCCGTTATTCTCTCTCACACAGTACCCAGAGTGGTCAGAGAAATGTCAGAAGAAATGACAGTGGCGCTGAGGCCTAAAGGTTGAGGGGTGTCATAGGGTGTGAAAACCACAAGAGCAAAGGTGCTGAGGTGGGATGAGCTGGAAGCATTTGTAGGGATAGCCAGTAGGTGGGCGTGGTGGGGCTGGAGAGCACAGGGCCTGAGTGGGAGGGATGAGGGAGGGCAGGGTGGCAGGAGCTCCTTCCTGTATGCAGAATCTTCCCTCGTGGAGGCTGGGATGCCTCATAAGCACCAGGCTTGCTTCTGGGAATATATGACCTAGTCTGGGTGCTCCCATGGAGGGGACACTTGGGCCAGGTTATGATGAGCAGAAGAGAATTTCAGGTGGGGAAATTTGTACCCACAATGGGGCAGTCTGCCCCAGGAGGGAGGAAGCTCCCTGTCTCTGGAGGCAAGCAAGCAGTGATCTTGCAGGATGCCATAGTGTCCCACCAGTAGGGGCCAGAGTCCCGATATGGCACGGGTTCCTCCATCCTGCCACAGGTGTAAGACGTGTGGAGAGTACATCTACAAGGGGAAGAAGTTCAACGCACGCAAAGAGACGGTGCAGAACGAGGTCTACCTGGGCCTGCCCATCTTCCGCTTCTACATCAAGTGCACCCGCTGCCTGGCAGAGATCACTTTCAAGGTAGATGGTCAGCCAGGCTGCTCCTTTGTACCCCAGGTCCCCTTGGATCGGGAGGGCTCTGGGAGTGACCAGCTTATATCCTCACTCTCCAAGGAAATTCCATTTCAGTTTATGTCCAAGAAACAGACAGAGATTTGGGGGAGATGTTCATGGCAGTGCTAAATATCAAGGCAAAAAGATAGAAGCAACCTACACGTACAATACTAGGGGATGGGATGAACAAATTATTGTACAATAGAATATTAGGTAGTCAGTAAAAATCACATTTTCACGGCTCGCTGGTTGGCGCAGATGGTTAAAGTGAGGTGTTATAATACCAGGGTCAAGGGCTTGGATCCCTGTACTGGCCAGGTGCCCAAAAAAACAAACAAACAAAAAGTCATGTTTTTACTTTTAATTGTTACCTTAAGGATTTGGGGAAAGGACAAGAAGAACTTAAAGTTTTCCGTTTTTATACTTTGGTAGTGTTTAAGGTTTTTATTTTTATTTTTTCATAAGCTTTTTTTTTCTTTGATTAAAAAAATAAGATTTGAGGGCTGGCCCAGTGGCGCACTCGGTAGAGTGCGGCGCTTGGGAGCGCGGTGGTGCTCCCGCTGAGGGTTCGGATCCCATATAGAGACCGGTCTGCTCACTGGTTGAGCGTGGTGCTGGCGCGACACTGGGGGTTGCGATCCCGTTGCCGGTTGCGGTACGGGCGCGACAGCGAGGGTTGCGATCCTGTTACCGGTCATGAAAAAAAGACAAAAAAGGACACTGGGGGTTGCGATCCCGTTGCCGGTTGCGGTACGGGCGCGACAGCGAGGGTTGCGATCCCATTACCGGTCATGAAAAAAGACAAAAAAGGGCAGGATTAAAACTGGAGAGTTGGTCTACTGCTTCTCTCTGCCCAGCCACTCAGTGCACAGGAGCAAACGCTGTAACAATTTCTTATACGATTTTCAACAAATTTCCTATGCCCACATGTACATAGTGATTACATTCTTCCTCGCTTCCTCTTTTCTAATAATAAAACATCTTATGTGGGGATACTTGTAGATTTACATAAAAGTTGGAAGTATAGTACAGACAGTCCCTGTCTACCCCTCACCCACTTCCCCTCACATTAGCATCTCCTGTAACCACAACGTGGTTGTCACAATGAGAAACCAGCATTAGAATGTTACCAACCCCAGACTCGATGCAGAATTCACTTTTTCGGCTACTGTCCCTATTTTGTTCCAGGGTCTGATCCAGGATACCAAGTTATATTTAGACTCTCAAGTTGTTTTTTTTTTTTTTTTTTTTAAAGATGACAGGTAAGGGGATCTGAACCCTTGACTTGGTGTTGTCAGCACCACGCTCTCCTAAGTGAGCTAACCGGCCATCCCTATATAGGATCCGAACCTGTGGCCTTGGTGTTATCAGCACCACACTCTCCCGAGTGAGCCATGGACCAGCCCTTCGCCTCTCAAGTTAATAAACACAAGTACGTGCGTGTCATGTACTCAGTTGTATATGTAGTTCACAATCAAAGCAGAGATGCTACTAAGCACACACACCAAAAGGGCAGGGATTGTGACATGTGCAAAGGCCTGGAGATTCTATCTGTAAACATGCTGAAGGTGGGGAGTGGAGGGTGAGGGTGGCAGGGAGGCAGTGGGCTGGCAGAGAAGAGTTTTAATGTCCCTGCTGGGGACTTGAGCATTTCTGCAGACAGAGATGAGAGCACTAGAAAGAACCATACTAGCAAAAGTGATAAGACATGAAAAATAAAGGAAAGATAGCAGGAAGAATCAAAAAACAGAGAGAAGGGGCTTGGGCTGCTGGGAGCTCTTTAGCAGAAGCTTTCAGTGCCCAGGGAGCTGATGTTTGTCCATCTTCCTTCCAGACAGACCCCGAAAACACAGACTACACCATGGAGCATGGGGCCACGCGGAATTTCCAGGCTGAGAAGCTCCTGGAGGAGGAGGAGAAGAGGGTGCAGAAGGAGAGGGAGGATGAAGAGCTGAACAACCCCATGAAGGTGAGCTGGGTGCTGCGTGTGCATGTGTGCGTGCGTGTGCATGTGTGCATGTGCCGTCTGTGTTGTCACCCCTTCCTGCCTCAGGTTCCCAGGCAGGGTGATGAGGTGGGGTGTGTAGTTGGTAAAACTCCAAGATGTCCTCCAAGACCCTGCCAGCCGGTGCACATGCCCCGGGTGGTCCCCTAGACTGTGAATTGGAAGCATCCCACTCCCATGGTTAGGTTATGATATGTTAAGTTATGGCTCAGTTGACCTTACCAAAGGAGGTTATCTAGGTGGACCTGAAGTATTACATGAGCTTTTTAATCTGGGCCTAGCGTCAGAGACAGAGGAAGTGACAGAACAGTCAACAGCCAGCAAGAAAACAGGGACCTCAGTCCCACAACTACAGGGAACTGAATTCTGCCAGCAACCTCCTGAATGAGCTCAGGAGAGAATCCTGAGTGTGACATGAGACCACAGCCTGGTGAGACCCTGTAAGAGATCCCACCCATGTTATGCTGGGCTCCCAACCCACTGAAACACTGAGACAATGAATTTGTGGGTTTTAATCCACCCAGTTTGTGGCAAATTGTTACACAGTGCATCAGGAGGAAACGAATATAGGGGGCAGGAAGTTGGTCTTCAGAACAGAAGGTGCTGCCTCCAGTTGGCTGCCCCCGTTTTCTAAGAAGCTTTCTATGACCTGTTAGGCCAATGGGTATTAAGACTAGAAATACAGGGCCGGCCCCGTGGCACACTTGGGAGAGTGCGGCGCTGGGAGCGCAGTGACGCCCCCGCCACGGGTTCAGATCCTATATAGGACTGGCCGGTGTGCTCACTGGCTGAGCGCAGTGCGGGTGACACCACACCAAGGGTTGCAATCCCCTTACCGGCCACGAAAAAAAAAAAAAGACTAGAACTACATAAGGAGCTGTTCTCTTGAGCATTTCCCAGCTCTGTGACCTTGGGCCAGCCACTTGGCCCCTCTGGTCCTCAGCACCCTCATCTGTGAAATGGGGTTGATAACTGTGCCCGTCTCACATGACTGTGGTGAGGGTTCAGTGAGTCCAGACACTTAAAACTGTCAGAACAGGGCCAGGCACACAGTCAGCGCTCTATGAATGTCTGCTAGGATTGTTATTCTTCATAAGAAATTATTTTCACCTTCCATTGGAGAGTTTTGTTGTTTTTCTCAGAAATGTCAAAATGACTATGTTTCTTCCTGTGCCATCCCACTTCCACATTCCCCATTTATTCCTGGACCCCTCCACCTCTGCCAAATGTGAGTTTTCTGAGCAAGCCACGTCAGAGCTGATGCAGAGCAGCAGGGAGGGAATGGGCCTCAGCAAGGGTTTGCTGTGTGCCCGGAGCTGCCCCCATGCTGTCTGTGTGCGACTTTACTTCCCTGCTGACAGCAGGGAGTTGTCACCCTGGTGTTAGTCAGCTACTGATATGTAACAAGTTATTCCAAAACCAAGCAAATTCACCCAAGGTCCAGCATTCGAGCCCAGTACCAGCCAGCTGCCAAAAACCAAAACCAGTAAGTGGCTTCAAGCAACAGACGTTTATTGTCTCCCATGGCTTCTGAGGGTCAGGAATCCAGGACTGATTCAGCTGGGAGTTTATGGCTTGGGGTCTCTCCTGAGGTCAAGCTGTCAGCCAGGGCTGCATTGTCTGAAGCCTCGACTGGGACTGGAGGAGCTGCTTCCAGGCTGGCTGCCTTGTGTGGCTGTTGGTCGGAGGCCTCAGCTCCTTGCACGTGGGCCTCTCCCCAGTGCGGCTTGAGCTTCTTCATGACGTGGTGGCTGGCTGCCCCAGAGCGAGGTATCCCAGAGAGAGAGCAGGAGGCAGCTGCCCTGTCTTTGATGTCCTTGTCTGGGGAGTGGCTTACTCATACTTCTGTCATTCTCCAGCTGCCACGTCCAGCCCATGCTCACAGGGAGGGGGATCAGGCTCCACCTTTTAAAGGGAGGGACTTAAAAGACTGTGTGGATGCCTTTTAAAACCACCACAATTGCCGTTTTCTGACGGTTCAGTACAACAAGACTGCACCACTAGGAAGTAGCCAAGATGGGACCCACACCCAGTCCTGCCTAGCTCTAAAGCCGCCTCTCTGAGACCTGGGGCACCTGAGCTCACCACACTGAGACTCAGTTTCCCTTTCTGTAAAATGAGGCTTGTTGTGAGGATTAAATGAGACTATATTGGGAAACAACTTAGCTGAGGGCCTGGCATACAGTAGGTGCTCAATTTGTTTTATAAAAAATTTTCAGTATTATTTTTACTTCATAATGGTGCCAGGCTGGAAAACCAGGCCATCTGAGTCCAGGGCCAGACTCCAGCTACATGGCCTCAGGTGGTCACCTCCTCTCCCTAGATCTCAGTGTTCTCACCTGTGAAATGGACACAGTGATGGGGCCAAGCAGGAGGTCCCTGAGCAGGACAGAGGGACAGAAGTGGGGCTTCCCTGGCCTGGGGCGCTACATGGCCTCAGGTGGTCACCTCCTCTCCCTAGATCTCAGTGTTCTCACCTGTGAAATGGGCACAGTGATGGGGCCAAGCAGGAGGTCCCTGAGCAGGACAGAGGGACAGAAGTGGGACTTCCCTGGCCTGGGGCGGCCCCCAGGGCACAATCCCAGCATGCCACTCAGCCCTGCCTGGTTGCGCCCACCAGGTGCTGGAGAACCGGACCAAAGACTCCAAGCTGGAGATGGAAGTGCTGGAGAACCTGCAGGAGCTCAAGGACCTGAACCAGCGGCAGGCGCACGTGGACTTCGAGGCCATGCTGCGGCAGCACCGGCTGTCGGAAGAGGAGCGGCAGAAGCAGGAGCAGGAGGAGGACGAGCGGGAGATGGCGTGAGTCAGGCGGCTGTCCCCCCGCCCTATGCTCCCCTCTTCTGGATCTTTCCATGGCTCCCTCCAGTGTCACCTTCTCAGGGAGATCTTTCTTACTCACCCGATCACACTTTCTCGTGGCAGCTATGTCAGGGTCCCCAGGACCACCCTATGCATGGAGATCTGCTGGGGGGTGCTCCTGGGACTCTGCATGGGTTGTCCTCACAGCCATGGCTTATTATGATGAAAGGATGCAGAGCAGAGTCAGCTCAGGGAAAAGGCACATGGGGTGGACTGGGGGGTTTCAGGCTCGGCTTCCAGAATCCTCCCCGAGGAGAGTTGCTCAGGACCCATTTCATCCCCATCAATGGGCCATGACAACTGAAGGTAGAAGGTGGAAGGCAGGGTTGAACTTAAACCACAATGTTTGCACTGACAGTGTAGGCCCAGGAACCCCTCCTGTCATAGAAGCAGGGCCCCCGGAGCCCAGGTTCCAGATGCCAGCCAGGGCGGGCTTTGCAGCCGCCGTTCTCAAGACGCAGCCTTGGGCCTCCCTGGTTGATGCTGTTCTGCTCAGCACCCACCTCCCTCTGGAATCTTTTTGTTGATTCATTCTTTTCCTGGTTTATCCCCGCTCCTGCCTCCTGTAGCGTCTGAGTGCTGTGGGAACAGGGACTTTGAGTGGCTTCTCCTGCATCCCCCAGGCCTAGAACAGGGTCAGGCATGTCATGGGTCCTCAGGAGGCACCTACTGGGTGGGCAGAGGGATGAGCCCTTGAGTAAGTAATAGTGACAGGAGCACACGGTCATCAGTCACCTTCCAGGTATCAGGTGCTGCTCATCTCATGGCCCTGGAAGGCAGCATGATTACCATCACAGTCGAGGTTCAGGAATGTCCAGCCATGGTCCCAGCTGAAGTCACCCAGCCAGTCCAGGTGTTTAACCACACCACTGCCCTCAGTGGATGAAAGAAAGTTGATTTTTTCAAAGTTATCTGTGGCCTCCTGCCCCACCCAAGCTCACCAAGGGCAGGAAAGCATATCAGGGCACTGTCCCCTGCAGAGCATGTCCCCCAGCCCCCACGTTCCACCCCACAGGGCCTTATTGGAGGAAGCCAGGAACCGAAGGCTGCTTGAGGACTCAGACTCAGAGGATGATGCTGTGCCTGCCCCGCCCCGGCCGGCACTGTGGCCCAGCCCCACTGCCATCCTGGACGAGGTGAGCAGGGCTGGCGGAGTTGCATGCGTGCTTGTGCTGAATGAGGGACAGGTGAAGCCAGGGGCAGCCTAACTCTTGTACTCTGCTGTTGTAGCCCCAAAGCAGCTGTAGGTCATGGGTTATTTACCCCACATGGGCGTGGCCATGTGCCAATAAAACTTTATTTACAAAACCAGGGGTCAGGCCTACTATGGGTCTGTAGCTTGACATAAAGCACATGGAAGTTCATTCCTCAGTCATGTGACAGTACCGGAGTGACAGTCGAGGACTTCTCTGCTCCACGAAGTCATGCAGGAATTCAGGCTTCTTCCAGTTCCTTGCTGTGCTTCTCCCTGAGTGTGGATTCCTGCTCTGTGGTTACAGCTGGCTCAGAGCACCCTCGAGGTCCAGCTGTGGGAAGGGAAAGGGTGAATGGAGGATCACCTGCCAGTGCCCTGAGGCCCAGACTCAGATGTTGCCCACCTCAGTTCCTAGTCACTGGCCACATCTAGCTGCAAGAGAGGCCAGGAAGTGCAGTCTGCAGCTGGCCCGAGCCTGGCTGCTATTCTACCTAGAAAGAAGAGAAGAGGGGTTGGGTGGGGACTGGCATTTCCACCATGGCTGTCTTATCCAAGGCTGAGGCCACTCTGGTTTGTTCATTGAAGAAGGTGGTTAAAGTGAGGGATCATCCACCAATAACAGACACTCAGAAACATTTCATTTTAGTTCTAAACACATTTGTGTTCTGTGTTGGTGGTAGTACAGGCCCAGCCACCAGACAAGACCCGAAGTCACAGCAGTCTCAGTTGGGTAGAAGCTTGCTTTTCTCTCAAATCCCAGCCGTGCAGAGCAATCCAGAGCAGGGAAGGCGGCCCCAGGTGTCAGGGCCCAGGTGCCTGTCTTGTAACTGTTCTGCCGTACCTAGGATGACGCCCTCCTGGCGCGGCATTTCTCTGCACCCCAGTCAGTGGGAGGGGGTGAGGGGTAGAAGGGGCACACCTTGGGTTGAGCACATCCTTCTGCTCAGGGCGTGAGCACCTCCCACTGCAAAGGGGGCTGGGAAATGTAGTCTTCTTAGTGAAGACAGCCATGTTCCAGCTGGGAATTCCATGCCAGCTAGAAGAAAGAATGGGTTTAGGGGTCAAATACTCTCCCCCACTAATCTTTTGATATAGAACCAAGGCATTTTTTTTTTGTTTATTTTGGCTTTTGGGTTTTTTTGATGGCTTGTCAGCACAAGGATCCGAACGCTTGACCTTGGTGTTCTCAACACCACACTCTAACCAAGTGAGCTAACTGTCCAGCCTTGGACCTTTTTTTAAAAGACATTTTCCTCAAGGATGTTTCCCCTAATTAGAGTTCTCACGTTGTTTTTCTTACATAAACTGCCCCCAGAATTCGTCATCGACTATTTCCTACACTCTAACCAAGTGAGCTAACTGTCCAGCCTTGGACCTTTTTTTAAAAGACATTTTCCTCGAGGATGTTTCCCCTAATTAGAGTTCTCACGTTGTTTTTCTTACATAAACTGCCCCCAGAATTCGTCATCGACTATTTCCTTTTTTTTTTTTCCCCCAAGTGGAGCAAGAGAGCGAAGCTACTTTCAGAGCAGCCTGACCTTTTGTGATTTATCCCTCCCATCTTTTGCCGATACTCGATTTGATAGCAGGTGTTTTGCTTTGTTTTGTTTCACACAATATGCCTTTATCAACGCTTTTCAAATCTTCACCTTAACTCTTCTGTTTTTGTTTTGGTGGCTGGCCGGGACAGGGATCAGCCCCTGGACCTCAGTGTTCTCAGCACCACACTGTGACCCACTGAGCTCACCGGCCAGTCCCCCGTTCACTTTAACTCTTATAGGAAGTTATGCATGTCTCCTTTCACACCTCTATTTCCTTGGTTTGGTTGAATGACAAGTACAACCAGCAGAAGCAGGTTCAGGAACATGTATGCGTTGGCACTGAGCCTGCGGGGAGAGCCCTGGTAGTGTTTGGCAAGGGTACAGAACACCAGTTAATCCTGTGCGTCAGTGGTGCTGGATGAAAAAGCTTCAGCCAAGATCGCTCATCTGCCTTCTCTCCCCTGCTAAATGGCCGTCTATCCCAGGCCCCATGCAGCCCCGGCCAGCATACGCAGTGTGCAGAATGGCCACTGTGTCCTCCGCCTCTGCTCGTCTCCCCCTCCAGGGGTGACAGCTTCCTTGCTGCCTTGGATATGCCAGGCTCAGTCTCCCCTCGGGTCTCTGTCTCCCTGTTCCCTCTGCCTGGATCACCCTCCCTGTGACCTATGCTTGTCACCACCACCTCCTCGTTCTGATATCAGCCCAGTCACCCTCTAACAAGGCTTCCCCGACCACCTTGTCCAAAGTGGCCACCCCCTCCCCTCCCACTGTTACACTGCCCTGACATCTCAGTAGAGATTGTCCTGGTTATGTGTTTACTTGTCCCTCATCTCTCCTCCCATCGTGAGGCCCTGCCAGTCCTGTTCCCTTTGTGCCTTTTGAATCCAGTGGTTGCCAGTTCCTCTGTCTAAACAAATAACAGACAGAAGGGGTCCCTTGTGGTGCGATTGAAGAGCTGGGAGTGGGGCCGAGCCCTTGTCTGTCTCCCTGTAACTATTCCCCAAGGTGGGTGCCTCCATGTTCACTCAGTCCCTCAAATGCATTGACTGAGTACCTGCTGTATGCCCAGAACTGTTTGCGGACCACAGACCCGGCAGTGAGCAGGACAGCACGCATGCATAGTTGAGAAGTCGGGTAACAAGTGGCAGAGGGCATGGTGAGCAGGGACATGTGGCACTCATTTGAGCTTGAACTGTGGGGAGAGGCTTCATGGAGGAGGACATACTCGAGTGGGGTATTGAAGGATACATAGGAGTTCACCAAGTTAATGAGAGGACAGGGGGACATTCCAGGTAAAAGGAATGGCATGGCTGAAGGTGTGGCAGTGAGAAGCCACACTGTGACTTAGGAAGTGCCAGTGCAGGGTGTATGGGCTGAAGAATGGGCGGAGACCTAGGAGTACCAGGCCCAGGGCTCTGGGAGCCGTAGAGGACTTTAGAGCGGGGGAGAGATTTGGTCAGCACAGTAGTGGAGATGAGGGTGGTAAGGACCCCTCCGGCAGCTGGTTCATCGGGAGACTATGAGCACGGAGGTCAGTGGGGCTGGATCTGGGCCAGACCACCCTACGTGTCCCCCCTTGCCCCACAGGCCCCTAAGGCCAAGAGGAAGGTGGAGAGCTGGGAGCAGAGCTTTGGCAGCCTCGGCAGCCGGCCCCAGCTGTCAGGCCTGGTCGTGGTGAAGAAGAGGAAGACAGAGCGGGAGCACAGCGCCGGGCAGGGCCAGGCAGCAGCCGCCCCGGGTGAGTCCCCCAGGTTCCGGGAGCCGGGTGCAGTGTCCCCAGTAGCCCCTAGGTGGCAGCAGCGCCTCCCAACCCCGGCGCTGTTCTGGAGCCTTCATGGAGCGGGTTAGGGTGACATGCGTCTCCCTCCCAGGGACGATTAGTGGAGTAAGGGGAGAAGGCATGGAGGGTTTTTTTTCCTTTTAATTGCAGAAGGAGCAAGTGCTTTAAGACCCAAGTCACAAAGAAGTGTATAAAAACTAAATGTCAGACCCTGCGGCACCCCACCTTCATCATCCGTTGTCAGCAGACCCAGGTCCTGGGCGTTGACACCTCAGGGCTGGCGTAGCTGGTGCTCTGTGGCCCCCACGCCCCACACCAACCCCGGAAAATGGAGAGTTGGAGGAGGGGGTGTCAGTGTGGCCAGGTGGTTAGGACCAGGATTCCAGAGCCGAGCAGCCTGGGTGCACATCCCCCATGCCTCCACTTGCTTCTTGTGTGGTCTTGGTCAAAGGATCTCCCCTCACCCCTGGGCCTCAGCTTCCCGTCCTGTTAAAAGCAGATAATAGGGCCGGCCCGGTGGCGCACTGCTACAGTGCGCCGCTTGGGAGCGTGGCGGCGCTCCCGCCGAGGGTTCGGATCCCACATACAGACCGGTTCCCGCTCACTGGCTGAGCGAGGTGCGGGTGCAGCACCGAGGGTTGCGATCCCGTTGCCGGTCCTGGTCCGGTGCGGGCGCAACACTGAGGGTTGCGATCTGTTGCCGGACACGAAAAAAGACAAAAAGGAAAAAAAAAAAGCAGATAATAACAGGACTTACCTTCTAGGTAGGGTAGGAACTTGGTTTGGGGTTGATTACATGAGCTGCTCCACGTCAGGTGCTTGTTTAGACCCTGTAACACAGTGAGTCTTCCATGTAAGTGAGCCAGCCCTTACCTGTACCGCTGTTACCCGCTGGTCAGATGGGGAGGCCGAGGCTCAGAGAGGTGCACCCACTCACCTGAAGCCACACAGCCGGGGGTGTGTCCCTTCTGAATCACCATAATCTGTGGCTTGACTTTGGACTTCAGAGCCATGTCCACTTTCTGCGGTGCACTCTGCCTGCCTGGCTGGAGCTTCCAGAAGTGCAGTTGCCAAAGGGTGTGCGGGTTTAAATCTGCCATGGGCCCCACCAGGAGCTTTCCAGAAGGCTGGGCCATTCGCATGCTTTCCACCTCTGGGCCTCGCCAGCAAGCTGGAATGGTCAAGCTTGAGCTCCCAGCCTAGTCTCAGCTGACTGTTGCCTTCCCCTCCAGGTGCCCTTCAGAGCAGGAAGGCAACTGACCCTGCACCCCCGACACCTGGTGCCTCCTCCCTGAGCCAGCTGGGGGCCTATCTGGACAGTGATGACAGCAGCGGCAGCAACTGAGCCCCGCCCCAGCCCTTCAAGGTCAAGGGTCTCAGGTCCAGCTTCAGCCATACCCTGAGAGCTGGTGGTTAGAGCAGGAGGCCTTGGCACCAACCAGGGCCACAACCAGGCGAGCACCAGTAGCCACCAAGGCCAGCGGGGCCGGCAAGGGCTTCAGCCTGGGGACTCGGCTTCTCTCCTGTCTCCCCACTAGCATCTCGGGGACCCAAGCTGCCCCTGCTCCCACTTGGCACCATGTTGGGGGCTGCCACATTCCTGGAGCACCTCTCAGCTTCCAGCATGACTCCCTGGTCCTGTCACAGACCGTCCTTGGGATGTCGGCCATGTTATGGGCATGCAGGTGAGCCCACCTACCCCCATGTGGCTCCATCCCTTCCCTCCACAGAACTGTCTGGAACCAATAAAAGGAATCCACCTAGCTGACCGGGCCACTTTCCCTCTGCCAGCATCTGACAAGGGGGTTGTGGGGTGAGGCCTCTGCTAGCAGGTTCTGGTTCTTCCAGAAGTATTCACAGCTGCCTCCTGTGTGACCAAGCCTAGGTCTGGGCTTTTGGGCCACAGCGTATATCCCGTCGTTTGTGCCAGAGTTCGGCGCTCCTCCCCCTCTGCAAGGGATGTTGTGTTTGTTCCTGATATTTGCTGCCACATGCAGTGTCAGGGCAAACCCTCCCATGAGTGTGTCCTCGTGAATGGGGTCAAGTATCTCTTTAGGACACCAAGAAATGGAACTGCAGGCTCGAAGGAGGTGCATAATGTTCATTTTTAACTTCTGGGGGTTTTTTGGGGTTTTGGTGGCTGGCTGGTATGGGGATCTGAACCCGTGACCTTGGTGTTATAACACTGCTCTAACCAACTGAGCTAACCGGCCACTGTTAATTGTAAAGGACACTACGACTTGCCTTCCAAGGGGCTGGGCTGTTTACACTTTCAGCAAGTGTGGATCCCTGGCTGGATAATCCGTGGGAATCAACGCTGGCTGGGAAGTCCTGCCTCCCAGGCAGGGGTAGCCCAGGGGCGGAAGGAGGGCAGGAAGACGGGGCAGGATCAGGGTGAGTGCTCACTTCCCGCGCCTCTTTTCATTTTATTTTATTTATTTATTTATTTTCCTTTTTGTCTTTTTTACTGACCGGTAACGGGATCGCAACCCTTGGTGTCGCGCCCGTACTGGGGACCGGCAACAGGATCGCAACCCTCGGTGTTGCGCCCACCCCGCGCTCAGCCAATGAGCAGAAACCGGTCTCCACATGGGATCCGAACCCTCGGTGGGAGCACCGCCGCGCTCCCAAGCAGCGCGCTCTCCCGAGTGCGCCACGGGCTCGGCCCACCTCTTTTCATTTTAATTTTGACGTCCTTCCAGACTTACCAACGAGTTCCAGAACTAGGACAAAGAATTCTCATAATGACCCCTTTCCCACATTTACTCTTCTCTATACTGTGTATACAGTTGTACCTTGGTATCCATAGGGGATTGGTTCCAGGACACCCCCCATCCCCCCACAGATACGAAAATCTGCAGATGCTCAAGAAATGTAACACTGACACAGAACTGGTATCTAATCTCCATCTGTTGTGGTTATGGTTGGGTTGTGTTCCCCAAAAAAGATATGTTGATGTCCTCGCCCCCAGGACCTCAGAATGTGACCTTTGGAGACAAGGTCATTGCAGAGGGGATCGAGTTAAGATGAGGTCATTAGGGCTTGTCCTTATAAAAAGGGGAAATTTGGACACACAGACATGCACAGAAGGAAGACACAGGGAGAGGACGGCCGTGGGAAGACGGAGGCGGAGACCAAAGGGGCGCAGCCATGAGCCAGGAGAGTCCACGCCTTGTTGCCCCGCCCACACTTTGATTTTGGAATTCTAGCTCTACCGTGAGAGAATAAATTTCTGTTGTCCCAAGCCACCCAGTTAGTGGTACTTTGTTGCGACAGCCCTAGGAAACTCATACACTATCATATCCAAATTCCACCGATTGCCCCAATAATGTTCTTTTGTTTTGGGGTACAGGGATCTGAACCCTTGACCTTGGTGTCTTCAGCTCCGCACTCTAACCAACCAGCTTGCCGGCCAGCCCCTCCTCCCCCCCATAACATTCTTGATGGCAACGGAAATCCCAGTCAGGCATCGCGTTCTCTCCTTGCGTCTGTTTTGTCTCTTGTCACCTGAGATAGTCCTCGGCCTTCTGTTGTCTTATGTGTCACTGATATTTTTGAAGAGTCCAGCCAGCCATGCTGGAGACTGCCCCTCCGTTTGGGTTTGTCTGGTATTTTCCAACAATCAGGTTCACGTTGCACCTTCCTGGCAGGAGTGTCACAGAAATGATGTGTTCTCGGGAGGCCCACGAGGTCGGGTCGCCCCATTTCTGGTGACTGAACCTTGGTCTGGGTCGTGGTAACGCGTGGTAACGTCCATAGCTCCCCGTTTTCCTTTTTCATCCCACAAGATGGCAAGTGTCCGTGGGGAGGTACTTTGAGACCATGTAAACATCTCATCCTCATCAAACTTTCACTCGCCAGTTTTACCATCCATTGCTGATTTTCTCTCAAATAAATGACTTTTTCATCCCACAAGATGGCAAGTGTCCGTGGGGAGGTACTTTGAGACCATGTAAACATCTGATCCTCATCAAACTTTCACTCGCCAGTTTTACCATCCATTGCTGATTTTCTCTCAAATAAATGATTGCTATTGTATCCGTTTCTTGTGGCTGCCATGACAAGTATGTCATACCAGTGGGGTGGCTTAAACACCGGAAGTGTATCCTCTTGTAGTTCTGGAGGCCAGAAGTCGAGATCAACGTGGAGCAGGGCCGGCTCCTGAGGCTGAGGGAGAATCTGCCCAGGCCTGTCCCCAGCTTCTGGTGGCCGCCAGCAATCCTGGCGTTCCTTGGCTTGTCGAAGCACCGCCCCACGTCTGCCTCCTCACATGGCCCTCCTTTCTGAGTCTGCCTTCCCCTTCTCTTCTCTTCCAAGGATACTGTCTTTGGATTTAGGGCCCACCCAAATTCAGGATGATCTCACCTTGAGATCCTTAACATAATTCCATCCACAAAGACCCTTTTCCAAATAAAGCCACATTCACAAGTTCCACTTGTTAGGACATGAATATATATTTTGCGGGGGGTCACTGTTCAACCTACTACAACTATGATGGTTACCAAATCCAACTCCTTTTAAATTTTTTTTTATTTTCGGAGGCTAGCCAGTACTGGTGTCGAATCCTGGTCCTTAGTGTTATCAGCACCACACACTAACCAACTGAGCTAACTCGCCAGCCGCATATACTCTTTTATTGTTTTATTTTAATCTATCGGAGGCTGGCTGGTATGGGGATCTGAACCAGTGACCTTGGTGTTATGAGGCTGTGCTCTGACCAACTGAACTAGCTGGCCAGCCCTGCCATACACTCATTTAAAAGAACTTATCTGTTGAGTGCCAGCCATGCACTGGGGGCTAGGATATGACTGCAAAAGACACAGTCTCTACCTTCATGGAATTCACAGTCCAGCATGAACTCAAGGTAAATACTATAAAGAAAAGAAATAGAGGATGTCTGTAATCAGCCAGAGGATGATTTCTGCTGAGTTAATCAGGGAGGCTTTTCTTGGGAGGTGACATTCAATCTGAGACCTGAAGGATGAAGAGGAGCTGGCCATACAGATCAGGAAAGAACATTTCAAGCTGAGGGAACAGCACGTGCAAAGGCCCTGGGGCAGGACCGAGCCTGGCATGTGGGAGGAACAGCGAGGAGGCCCGTGTGGCTGCAGCAGAGAGAGGAGGGGGAGACAGGGAGGGGAGGAGGGGATGGGGCAGGTCATGCAGGGCCTGGTGGGCTGTGGGGAGGACTTGGGCTTTTATTATACAAGTAATGAGAGGCCACATAGGAGTTTTTAACAAGGAACTGACATTTACATTTTTAAAAATTAGTCTGTTTGCTTTGTGAATAGTTGGTAGTTAACTGCAATCTCATAAGGCAAATGCCATCAGAACCATCGCATAGGTGAGGACACTGAGATTCAGAGAGGGAAAATGATGTGCCCAAGGTCCCTGTGGTGGTCTTACAATAGGACCATATGCCAGATGAATAGCTGCATTAAAAAATACGTACATGTCCACAAATTCTTCGATGCTCCTCTCTTCAAGTGCTGGAGCCTAATTCCCCTTTCCTTGAGTGAGGGCTGTATTTAGTGACTATTCAGTGCCTTTGGTGAATGGGACATTGGGTGACTTCTAAAACTAGATTATAAAGGACATCGTGGCTGCCTTTCTGCTCTCTCTGGTATCACTCGCTGTGGGGGAAGCTCAAGCCACGCTGTGGAGATTCCTGTGTGGCCAGGAGCTGAGGCCTCCTGCCAACAGGCATGTGAGGCAACCTCCCTGGGAGTGGCTCCTCCAGCCCCAGTCGAGCCTTTGGATGGTACAGCCCTGGCTGACAGCTTGACAGTGACCTCATGAGAAACCCCAAGCCAGAACCCCCCAACTTAGACATTCCTGGAATCCAGACTCTCAGAAATTATGAGATCATAAATGTTTGTATGCTAAGTTTTGGGATAATAGATAACTAATTTGGTCATGCAACCAGTAAGTCTGATTCCAAAGCTAATGCCCTTTGAAGGTTGACAGATTTCAACTCTGGTATAATTCTCTACCACTCCAGGAGTTTCTAGTTTAAAGTCCCGTGCCTCCATCAGACCCCTTCACAACCTGATCAACTCCCAACCCTCTCCTACCCTACCCAGGGTTAGTAGCATCAGCCCCCACCCCCCACCACATGCTTGCATTTGGAATTTGGCAATTAGGTTTTGTATTCTTCACTGTCAGAGTTTGGGGGGTGAAGAGTCACCACTTTGGGATCCACTTTCCTATGATGATTTCCCTGCTTGGATATGACTGATGTAGAGGTGAACTGGGGGCCAGCTAGGGCTTTCTGATGAGGACTTGGGGAGCCTCACATTGTAGCTCCCAGGCTGTGAAGTCAGGACCTGGGGATCCTGACAGTGGTGGACTGAGGCCGGCTCACACTGAAAACTCGTGAGAGTCAATGGGTAATTGATGTCTCTTGTGTTAAGCAACATCATGTTGGTGACTTAAACTTGGCCATAGGAGCATTTACACCATGGAAACTGGCAAGTGCTGCAAATCAGTCCCTCACACCAGCCAGAGAGCCAGCTGTTAAGCATTTACCAGCACACCACTGCCTGTTTTCTCCAAACCCATGATCATGCATGGAGCCTGGAATGTGGCCCATTCAGAGATTGGTTAAAAGCAATCATCTGGGGCTGGCTGGTTAGATCAGATGGTTAGAGTGTGCTGGTGATAACATCAGGGTCCAGGGTTCAATCCCTGTCAGCCACCAAAACAAAACAAAACCTGCAAAAAAGCAAAGCAAAGGGCCATCCTGCGGCTCACTTGGGAGGGT